ACATTTCCTTTCAGGTTTGGCTCCGTAACACTAACTTAACTTGTGGTTTACAATATTATCGTTATCTCCCATATTTTGATTTTTCTGGGAAAAATTTCAAGCAACTAAGAGAGGTAAGCATAATATCGTAAAACACAAGGCATGTTAAGAAAGTTGAGATCTTAGAGAAAGAACTCATAGTTGAGTGACTATCTGATACATTATATCCGTTACCAAGCCAAACCTGAGCGAAGGTCTCTGTAATTATTGCAATATTTATCTAATAGTTGTGGTCTGACTTCAGATTGAAGTACTGTATGATACTCTATCTCTATGCCTAAAGACCGTGTCAGGCAAATTTATGGCTAATAAAATTGGACAAAGAGAGAAGGATACATTGTGTTTTTCGCAAACTCTTTTAAGAGCTGTCAAGTTCTTATAATATGCCTACTCTCTGAAATGTCAAATTGAGAATATTTTTAACCAGCATTAGTGTTTCCATTAATAGCAGCTTAGTTAACCACCATTGACTAATACTTAAGATTGCTGGTAATGACTCCTCTTTATCTTTCCTTATCTAGTTATATTACTTGAGGGTCGTGGCAGCATCATTATTTGGACAATTCAGCAGTCCAACAGGAATATGGAGTGCACTTTTAGATTGAATTTGTCAGGCTTTTTTAAGTTGAAAATTCTATCTGGCAAAGGCTAAACTTTTAGATTGAATTGGGTTTAGGCTCCTCTGAGTTGAAGCAGGTTCGGTCTGGTAGAGATATTGGTGGCAGTGTTGCCCTGATTCTCCTTTTATACCTTTTGTCATCAGTTCCCTTTTCTTTTTGGGTTCATAAAGTAAGCAGATATGTAAATTGTATGACAGTGTAGGAGAGATGTGAGATTTAGATAATCCCTAATTATCCAGTAGTGGATTGTCCAATTTAAAATGTAGGGGATGTATATATGTGACCGCATGAAACTAGTTTGAGATTGATGTGTTCACTAATCACAGCTAGTTTTGCCTTCCCTGCTCAATGAAGAACTTCTCTATTCTGATCCCCTACAGTTTTGTTATGCTCAACCAATCAGTTTATTTTATTCCTGTTCTTTCTTTAGGTAAAAGCTCACATGATATTGTATTTTTGGCTTCTATTTTCATTAAATTTTAGGAATAAATATTTAGCTGAAGAAGAGAACAAATATAGAAGCTTTCACTGTAGGTGTTTATATACTTGGATGGATTAGTTGGTCTTAGCTGGAAGGGATTAGTCCCTTGTTCTTTCTTTCTTTTTAATTAATATAAGGGGTGACTGGACCAACATGCTCGGCACCTTGATTCCATCTTGTCCAACCTGCTAACGCACAAGTTCCAAGGTAATCTTATGCACCATTGGAGCAGGTGGGTACATGCCAAGTGTTTTAACTAGGATTCCTTCTGAGTGGATGAAGTGCTGATTTGCAAGAGTCTTCTCTAGAATGCATCAGCTTTAATATTAGGACTATGCTCGCAGTTCCATAGAGTATGAGACTATCCATTTATTCCAGCCTTTCTTGATATAATTAAGACTTTGTAAGCAACTAAAATCTTCTTCTTTTGATGTAGACCAGGCAAAATAGGATAGTAGAGCATTAGATCTTAAGATGAACTAATATCTCTCTGGTGATGTTTCATGTGTATGAAGTGAACTTCACTGATAAAAATAGCTGCTCCGATAAAATAGGGTAAACAGCTCAAGTAGCAATTCTTTCAAAAGGAAAAATATCAATGCAACTTTTGCAGAATTTACCACTGGTGTTACTAGTCAAGTATGTATGTCAATTATGTGATTACTCTTTTCATATTCCTGTTGTCTATGCATTTGCTTTGAAATGGAATTATGGAAGGTAGTTGGATTTATTCCTTACCGGTATCATTTCTTATGTTGTACTAGTATGAACAATAAAATATAGGAACACTGTGTTCTCACTTCCTTACGCCCTTCTACTTGTTTTCCGCTGAAGGATATTAACTTGCTACGTTATTCCATTTCTTATCCATCATTTACTTTGTCCGATTTAAAATGAGCGCTATAGCATCTTAACTCATCATCTTTCGTTCCATCTTTGTTCAAACAGGAGAAACAAGGAGGAAGTTTGAGAGTGTTTATTCGGGTGGCACCATGGACACCCCTGATGGTGGTAAAGTTTTTCAATACTGGCATTGCTGTGGGTCTGAAGACCCTTTTGATGTTGGTTGCACAGCTGCACCTCATGCTTCTTATGATGATTGATACATTAACTCTTTAGAACTTTGGCCAATTCACAAGTCGAATCTCGTGTTGTATCTCTACAGTTCTTCTTAGTCCTTTTCTCATAATTGTACAGCATACATAGCTTAACACAATTTCCCTTCAAGTTTTGATGCAACTGATATAATGAGTTTCTTTTTTCTCCTCCTCTGTGCTCATTTTGAATAGAGGTATTATGATGAATGAATGAAAAAAACTTCATTTAGTGAGAATACACTGAAGAACACAAGTATTAAATTGTTCAGTCATAATTAAGCTTCCTTCTACGATTAAGAACTACGCCTGCAAGATATGTTATCTTTACCTTTAATCCTTGTAGCTTAGCCATAATCCTAGTGACTCGCGGTGTAAATTAGGTTTTAGAATTCAAGTTAAATCAAGAAAAAAATTTACTATTGTAATGAAGGATAAACTAAGTAAATACCCCATAAATGTAAGTTAATTATAAAAGAGAAAATGGCCAAAAGCTGCCTAACCTATCGGCGGTACTCAACTACCATAATTGCTTATCAGGCATAGTGAGTTGTTATGTAAGACCAAAGAAAATCCTATCCTAAAGCAGAAAGGAGGAGGAGTAGGAGCTAGCCTTAGGGGCGGAATCGAATGATTACGAGATAAATAATGAGACAAAGGAGAGCGCTTAGACGAGTCAACCAAAAAGAAAGACCACCAAAAGTAACGACCACCAAGATAGGAAATAGTAATTCGATCTTTTGATCACCCATTTTTGGAAAACCATTTTTGGGGGGTTGAAGCCCTGCCTCGAAAAAGTCAGGACTTTTGGGCAGATTCCAGTACCCGACCCATCTCTTTCTGCCGATTCCCCGGGTTGTCGGAATCTCTGGTTCGATCAGGACCAGGAGCCCCATTCATTCGTTTATGGGAGCGTGAGAGAGTGAACGATAAAAATAAATATTACTAAAATATTTTTTAATTATTTTCATAAACATATGTATTTTCAATTTTTTTTCTTATTTATTTTCTTTCTTCCCCGAAACAATACAGGCATCCACCATTTTAAGCTCTCATGTAAAATACTTGCAAAATCAATTAAATCCACTAAAAATAAAATGTCAACCATCTCTAATCACCAAAAGACTTCAAATCGGATTTAGAAAATCATTATGGGTTCACATCAAATCTAATTGAACCTCCGAAAAATTATTATCAATTTCAAATCTCTTGATTATAAATAATAATAAATAAAAAAAAGCACAACACAGATTCGCAAGACGTTAAGCTGAGTTATGAATATCGCAAAACTATTTCAGAGTCTAATTAAAGAAAAAGAAAGTTTTTGTTTATAAAAAAATTACGATGGAAAAAATGGTTAAAGAAGAAAGAGGGGTGTGGGGGCGGGAGACCCCAATGCATTCGTTAATATTTTGACCAAATCAATCTTTATAAGAAAATTATGATTGAAAAAATGGTTAAAGAAGAAAGAAAGAAGATGAAGGAGAAAAAACTAAAAAAAAATTAATAATTAACTAGAATCATGAGATTTGTAATATCTTGCTCCTTTTTGTGTAATGAGATATTAAGACCATTTGTGATTTCTAAAACATCAATCATCAAATGCATAGAAGAATTTCATGGCACAGTGTTTTTTTCTTCTTCTTTGGATAACAACTATTTATCCGGTGAAATTTATGTTAAGTAAATAAATTAGTTGATTTACCTTGTTGGAAAGTGCTAAATGGCTAAAAAAAGAAAAGGGCAACTTTCACATATAGCAAATAAAAAATTTATATTTGTGCAATATAGCAAATTTTGCATAATTGCGCTCCATAGCGAACATAAAACTGTATAATTCGCTATACATATACAAGTGTATAATTCGCTGGCCTATTTCGCTGCAATTGTATAATTTGCTTTGCATATTGTTGAATCGAATTAAAATGTATGTATATTGCATAATTATAAGTTTATAGCAAAAAAATATATGTTTTTCTCGCTTTATACAAAAACAGAAACACAATATATATACTTCTGTTGTATAAAGCTAGAGAAAATTGTATTTCACTGCAATTGTATAATTCGTTGGCCTTTTTCTCTGCAATTTTTGAAGTAAAATGTTTGTAAATTGTATAATTAAGTGTATAACACGAAGATATACATTTTTGCATGTGTATATATAATTTTCTCTCGCTTTATACAAAACAGAAACAGAATTATACACTTCTGTGTATAAAGCGAGAGAGGCAAGCTAGAATGGAGAGTGGTGAGCGAGATTCCTGGGAGAGAGACGCTGGCAAATTTTAGATAATGTTTGCTATGGAGCACAATTAAATCAAACCCTAGCTATTCTATTTAATTTAAGTTATTAGTTTGCTATTTTATACAATTTTCTCTAAAAAAAATTGACCAGAGAATTAAAAAATTATTATGTTTTTCTTATTTTAAAACAATTTTTTTTTCATTTTTTAGTTTAAATATATTAAAATTACTAAGGGTAAAAATATTTAAAAAGATTAACATTTATTTTGACCAAAAAGATTCTTCCAAACTTATTTGTAAGTACTCTAATCTCAATCTATACAAATGAGTTTTTCTTTTTTTAGACAAACAACGATTTTTCATCTTTTTGGTAGAAAAGTTTACATTTTTGTTTTTTTCATAATTACTTCTTGTTCATTTATTATTTTTCATAAATTAAATTGATTTGATGTAATTTAAGTTTAAAAATTTATCAAATTAATTTTTGCAAAGCATAAATTGTTACATAAATTGAAAGAAAGGAAAATAAAATGTTGTTATTTAAATTCGTTAAATGCTTGTGAGGTAACCTATACTTCATTATCATTACAATACTTAAACTTTTTTCAATCCAAATATTATATTTGGGGTTATTTTTCAACCCAATTTAGAAAAATTGCTTAAAATAAACTATGGGATTTACATCCAACAATAATGCTAAAGTAACGCCTGCCAGAATTGAGCCAATTAGTTGAGCTATTATGTACACTGGTGCCTGCATCACATGAATGTGATGTTAATTAGTTTCTTCATACACCAAAATTAAATCTAGCAATTTTACCATATGATTTTATTTTATGTCATTTGTTGGTAAATTGAAAAAAAGTTACTATGACTGGCACGTACTAATTTCCAGGGGGAGCGACGAAAGACGGTGAAAATGAGAGTTACAGCAGGGTTAAAATGAGCTCCAGAAACTTGTGCCATGGAGTAAACCATGACCATAACAACAGCTCCCCATGTCATGTTTATACCTCCAAACGTTATGCTTTCATCATCTTGTAGCTTATACATTGCTACTGATCCACACCATGCAAATATTATCACGTAAGCCCCAATCGCCTCGGCAAATAACTGCATGTGTGCTATGGTAAATTCTTAAAGGCTAAATCTAATCAAATTTAAATTTTGAATTCGTCTTTAAAGGACCATACCTTTTGTGCAAGTCCAGCATTTGAACCAAGTCCTATGTTTGTATGAGATTGGGACCCAAATATATTGGCTGTTTCCATATTATGGTGATTTCTTCTTCTCAATTACCATCAATTATTGCAACCATTGTGGATATCATATAAACAAGACATGAAAGTATAAAGGGAATTTTACCAAGGTGAGGATATTAATTATAATTAAAGATATGATGAATAGTTGAAGAATTTGTTTGTTCCATCTGCTGTATATTAGGATCTCTAGGGCCCACATTGTTTCAAACTTTGATTTAGCCCTCTGATTTACTTTGAAGTATATATTAATACTCTATCTTTTGGTTCTTTCATAAACACAGTATGGTCCTTATAAAAAAGAACTCCATCCATCCCTTTTAAACATTCTCTGTATGTCACTAACTAACTATGAGAATGGAGAAGTGGAAACTTTTAACAATTGTATAACTCTTCAAATACACAATCTATGTTACAAATATCTAACTCGAAATTGTATTTCTAAGACCTTGTGAGTTTTTCCCAAAATTATTAACAGTAACCAGTCACCTGGCGCCTATTAAGAAGGACCCGGACTGGCATTCTTTCATATCATCTGATATTTCCAAGTACAGAAAATCAAGAGGACACCGGCTCATAGCGCAGGGGAAGGAAGAGAACGAATCGAGTCATGAGACTCAGGCATTATTACTCAACATAGGTGCAAGGCGGACAAAAGTAAACACTGTTTAGCATACCAACTGAATTGGCTTTTCTAACTCTCTTTGGAACTTGAAATAGACAAATCAGCTGGAGTGCATATCAGTGCCCTTTGCTGTAAATGTCTCAAACTTTGCTCCATACTAATTTGTACCATCTCAGCAAGCATGTCCTTTGTTTTTCCTAATTGTTCGTCTCCATCTATCTGACAGATAATATTGGAAACAATGTTCTCCAATGTGTCAGGTTCAAGTTCAGAATTAGGATAAGGTGTGTCTCTGAGCAACCTCAAAAGTGTTTGCGCTTTTGTTTGAGACTTGGGTGTTCCTTGAACAGTCAGCTCAAGAAGCCCAGGAATTACGCCTTCTTTCAGAATTGTTTCCCGGTATTTACAGCGGTCACTCTGACACATTGCTAGTAGAGCACCTACAGCATGTTCTCGGCTTTGAAGAGATCCACTTTCAAGTACTTCTACTACTGCAAGTACTCCTCCTTCTTCAGACGTCACTGCAGTCCTACCCTCCTCATAACACACTAAAGATTCTATAAGAGACATACATTTCTCAGCAGCTTTTGAGGACTTTTTACAGGATTTAAGCAAATCAATAATGTAATGTATGGGCTCAGTTTGAAGGATCAAGTTTAAGTTGCCTTGATAAGTTGCCAGGTTGTAAAGAGCCATCACTGCATCAACCTTGGCTTGTGAGCTTCCTTGTCTTAGGACATCCACAAGTCGAGGAATGACACAAGAAGCACTAATTATGGGTTTTGTCACAGAAGAAGCAGATAATGTAAGTAATGAAGCCGTTGCATGATCCTGTAGAGTTGACTTCTCTGATTGAAGAAAGCATATGATGGGTCCCAATGCACCAGCATTGATGATACTTATCTTGTTTCTGGTAGAAAAGGGGAAAAAATAGTCTAAATCAGAACTTTGTTTAGTTTAGTTTAATCATTCTGGAATACTGTCAAAAATTGGCAGTCATCACTTCCAAATCTTTCTTTAACGGCTCATGAATAACAACTAATCTAGAAAATATACTACTGTAGAAAGGATTTAATCAGGTACGAAGTGCAGATAACTGACAAAGCTCTTCTCACACATATACAGCCAAATGAACAAATCCTATACTCTTTCCATTGGCTCAGTGGAATTGGAATGTGAACTTGAAAGCATACAAGGTACTACACATCTACTGACAACCATCCTATTCCAAGCTAGAAATAGAAAATTATAACCATGCTCACTGAGCTTAAATAGAATTTCTCACACAAATCTGACCTAAATAATTTGATGGATGGTAGAAGGTGTATAATTTTCATTGGGAAATCAAGGGAAGCATGCAGCGGAGGAACTAAACTAAAAGCTTATAGCTTAGAAGGACAAATACAATGGAGGAACTGAACTTACACCTTATAGCTTGAAGGCAAATGCAATGGAGGAACTTAACTTAAAGCTTATAGTTTGAAGGACAAACAGTTTCATGGTCGTTGGCTACGATTATGGCATTGATGCAAATGTTTAATTCTTTAGAGTTAACCAAAGTCTTTTTCATTCTTAATCTACTATTTAATTAGAGATCATAGAATAACTATAGAATGATAGTGGGTTCGGATTAATTCCCCGAAGCACTCATTGGATTATCAAACATGGTGCATGCCAGCAAGAAGAACTGAATCTATTGAGATTTGAGATACGGAGCTAGATTTTTGTCACTTTAGATGAACAAACAAATAGAGAGTGAATATCAACTTTAAATTGTAAACAGTAATCCCTGCTTTCTCAAAAAGTAAATATTAGTCACTTAATGGATAACTCATTTACTTTTGGATCAAATTCGGATATTTCCATACTCTATTATAAAAAGAACTAGTTCTTTCAGTAATCTGTACATCAGCACTTCTAAATTCTTCAACGCGTTATTGTTATTAAAACACCAGTAACCATCCTACATGAGAATATTTTAACAAAGAGTAGAATCTCCATGAGGGGTTGACTAAGAAGCATTTCAGGCACATATATATGCCTTCAACTTTTTATCAACTTTAGTGTTTACATTAGGGACAACCAGTACTATAATCACTAATGGGCGGCCCAATCAGAAGTCTGAAACTATTGAATTTGCCAAGAAAGTTTATTCCAGATTATATAAAATACCAGTGGTAGTTTCTTTTATATGCAACTTTAATAAATGATTTTCTACTTCAAGAATCGGACAGAGAAGCCCCATCGCATCATGGATCATGTTGAACACATCCTCTAAATAATCATAAAAAAAAAAACTAAATTCCAACTTCAACCATGCATTGAGCTCTAAAACGTGATTTCTACCAATTGAAATAAGCTCCTGTTTTTGTGACTCTTTTAGTTGGAACTGAGTTTGACACTAGTAATTTTACTCCTGCTTACATTTTGTAGCAATAAGACAGCGAAAAAAGAAAACAGTAAATATGAGATGAATGATCATGAAAAAGAAAAACCAGAAGAAGAAACACCATCTTCACATTCCAATACACCGAACCTGAGGAAAATATGCACTTGTGGAAATGAGGAGTGACAGAGTGATCAACGTCTAAAAAGCTAATAGGAAAACATTAAAAACAGCCCAAAATTGGCACGGTGAATTCACGAGCAAAAAGTTGATAATTATCAACCTTTTCATAATTCAGGAAGCTCCAATGGGCCAACTATATCCAATTTGCACAGGATTGAGAACTTACTAGCATTTGACAGGCCAGTAAATTACCCAATGATTTGTATACACAAAAAGAATAGCGGGATCCAGGACAGTCAACATATTTTATTGATACATCATTTCCGACATGATTTTTCAGTTTTTCTGAGATAAAAATCATAAAAAGAGAATTACATATTCCTTTGAGTCATCTCTACAGCAGCACAACAAAATGGCACAACGCATTACTGCTATTATTAATAGCAGCAAGCCAGCAATTAGGACATTAAAATATATTTTACAAAGAGTAGAATTTCCCAAAGGGGTCAACTTAAAAGCATTTCGGGAATATATGCCTTCAACTTTTATCAACTTTAATGTTCACATCAGAAATAGCCATTATTATAATCAATCAAAAGTCTCAAACTATTGAATGCGCCGTATATTTATTCCAGATTATCCAAAATAGCACTAGTAACTTATACTTTATGCAACAAATGCAAACGAAATTTTCTACTTCAAGAATTAGACATAGAAGCACCACTGCTTCGTGGATCATGTTGAACACTTCGTCCAAGTAACATAAGAATGACTAATATTCCTAAACCCTTTTAGTTTAGAACTTAGCTGGCCACCAGAAATTCTTATCTTGCTTCCATTTTTGTAAAGTTTAGACAGAGTGGGAAAAAGAAAACAGTAAATATAAGATGAATGATTATGAAAAAAGAAAAGCAATACACTAAAATTGCACTTATAGAAACGAGCAACAGGGCAATTCCACGTCTAAAAATAGAAAAACATTAGAACAGCCAAATTATCACCAGCTCGAATAGACCAACCAATTCCAGTTTGCAATAGAATTGAGAATTCATGAGAAATACCTTTCATCTTTAACAGCGAGATTGAGGAGGGCAAGTAGAGCGGCTTCCTTAGACTCAAATGAGTTAGAATGAAGCATATGAACAAGTGATTTCACGGCGTTAGAGAAATAACGACGGTAACGTTTGGAAGTCTTGGTGAGGCGCCGAATTTCCCTAGCTGCCTGAACTTTCAAAGTGAGGTCGTCGGATTGTATAAGAAGAAGGATTTCATAAACACTGGAAGACGACGGCGTTTTAGGAATATTATCGCCGGAATTGGCTGTGGTATAGCTGTCACCGGCTCCAAGGTCCATCAGAAAAGTAAATAAAATTAATGCGAAAATTGAAGTTGCTCTAGGGAATTTAAACATAAAAAGAGGAATTTGTAGAGAGAGAAAGACACAGAGAGAGAAACGTAAGGTTAAGAAGAGAAGAAACATGGCCACCGGCGCCGTGGCGTTAAGTAAGAGTAACAGAGCCCCACCCACCCCAGTGGGGACAGCCACGGCGACTGTGGGGTTCCAACGGTTTTTGTTAGTTGGTTTTTACATCAGTACTAATACCATTACTTAGGGATGCTAATGACATAATTAGGATATTTACCCTTTTAATTAAAAAAATTATCTAAAAAGTCTGAGGAATTGTATCTAATTGGTCGAGTTAATAAGTTTCGGATATAATAGATAAGATACATTTTATTTTACTTTATGTTCATTTTTACTTTTATATTTTGCATGATTTTTAAATATAATAATTAATATATATATATCTTATCATAATATTTATATTAATTAATTAATAAATAAGTAATTGTAAGTAAAATATAAAAAAACAATTATTTTTTATTTCATATAGTAAAA